CCCCCCCCACTCAGCGATGACCGGCTGAGAGCCTCCACTGCGGCAAGCCAGCGCGTGGAGTCCTCCAGCCGGAGCGACCATCTGACCATGGTGGCTCGGCAGCGGCTTCGCGCCACTCGCGCACGTCTTCGGCGAGGGCGAAACCCGCTCTCCGCCCGGAAGTCAGCCACCCCGCCGAAAAACTTCGGCGAGCACTTCCGCCTCCAAATCCCACGGGGTTTTTCCGGGCCCAAAGGCGCAAGCCGCCTCGGTAGACACCTTTGCGGTATCCTCGTATGGCTTCTGACCGCCAATATCCTCTGGGGCGCCAGAGGCGCGCCCTATTCGGGGCGGTCAAGCCGCCACCCACCGGTGCCCCATACAGTGCCATGACCGGACAACCCCCGCATACAGCCGCCTCGTGGGAACACTGGCCCCGCTCAAATTGGGCAAAAGGGTCGCCCTGGGCCCGGGAGGCAGTGTCCACCAGCTTCGGACCAAGCTGTCGGAAGTGCTCGTCGAAGAGCCACCTACCGTCTAGGACCAGACCCAGATACTTCATCTGGGCCCGGACCGGTACGAGGACCGAGCCGACCTCGATTGAGGCGCCGGCGGGTGGACCACGACGGGGGCCCATGAAATAATAGGGCCTTCGTCTTATCCGGGGTCCCCGCAAAACCCTACGCCTCAATGCGCCCGACAACCAGGTAAACTCCCTGGCGGCCAGGCGCAACCGCCTCCTGGAAGTTAGCCCCCGGGCCGTGACAAAAAGTGGTCATCTGCGTAGCAGAGTACACCCAGCCCGGGGGGAGCGCCCTCGTAGGCCCATTCATATCCGATGTTCCACAGGAGTGGTCCTAGGACAGACCCCTGCGGAACACCGCACATGGCCCTGCGTCTCAAGACACCATCTGGGTCCTCGTATATGACGGTTCGCTCCTCAAGATAGTCTGCCACCAGCCGCCTCAAGTACTTCCGGCACTCCCGTGGTAGCGGACGTTTTCCCTGATGCAGCTGAATGAAACTCTTGAAGGCTTTGGCGATGTCCAAGGACACCGCCAACACCACTCCGCCCGCAGCTCACGGCCTCCTCGTCACGGCCCTAAGGCGCATTACGGCATCGATCGCCCGAACGCCCCTCTCGAAACCAAATTGGCGTCCGACAGATCGGGGCCAACCCCGCAAAGGTGCCGGACGATGCGGGGCAGAGAGCACCCTCTCAAAAGTTTACCCGCCTCGTCCAGCAACACGATAGGCCTTTAGGCCGCGACCGATTCGGCAGGCCGTCCCGGCTTCTGCAGCAGGACCCAGCTTCCCGCATTTCCAGCGCTCGGGGTAGCGTCCGAACGCCAGGCTAGCGTCCAACACCTCCCTGAGGTGGTCCGACAGGGTAGTCCGAGGGCTCGGGCCATCACTCGGGCTGGAACCCCACCCGGGCCCCGGGGGCGGTGTTCTTGATCGAATCCGTAGAACAGCCGCCCCAACTCCGATTCCCTGACGGGGGGAAAACATAACCTCGCTGCCCCCGTCGTCTCCGGCTGATGCAGCCATCGACGGGGGTGTGTGCTCCGCCCGCTGCGGGAAATGCATAATAAAACCTATCCCGAGTAAATTACAACTATAATAACTACATAGCTTGCCCTTTATACCCCTCCAGCACAAATAGCTGCTTCTGAACTGTTTTCTAAGCTTTGTCGGCACCAATCTATTCCAGTGCTGCATGACATCCTTCGCTTATAACTGCTCTGCTCGCATCCCGCACCTGCCTGCGTGAGTGCATTGCTGCGATGAGTGCTGGTGCGCTGCGGAGGGCCCCCGGGGCCGCGCCGCCCACAGCACATCAAAGCAGGGAGCGTGTCGTGTGCAAGTTTGTTTACATTCTTATCAATACTTAATCTTTGATTGCTTTTGGTCGCAAGCATGTTGGAGGATAGTTTAAAGGATTTAAAGAGCGCGAAGCGTAGTTCCATTAAGGGATGCTTGACTAATTTAAAAATAGTTTAGATTTTTAGACACATTAGAAAATTTTTCTGCAATTGAACTAGCATAGCTTGCGATGAAACTATCAAGATTTGAGGCGTTGTTCATTAAATTTGATGAGGTGCAAAATCAAATAGAAATTTTAAGCGTTGATAAACTAGAGGCTGAGCTAGCTATACGCGACTCAGTTGAAACAGTTTTTTTACCATTCCATTGCCTTTGCAAAACATTATTAGAGAAAGGTAACACTTCAACGCCTTACCATAACTCTTCTTCTCATCAATCGTGCTGTCAAAATTCGCATAACGCTAGCAATATCTTGGGGTTTCGCCTACCAGAAATAAAATTCCTACCTTCGAAGGATCTTACCACAAGTGGATCGAATTCAAAGACATTTTTACATCGTTGGTACACCAAAATGAAACTATTGAAAATATACACAAGTTTCACTACTTGATACCTACTCCTACCTACAGTAAGTACCTCGAGTAATTTCAAAACTTGAGATTTTTTACCTAAAACTACCATGAAGCATGGAAGATTCTGTGTGAGCGCTATGCCAATAAACTCAGTTGATCAACAACCATTTTAAGTCCTTTTCAACATTGACTCAGTTCGTGAACCGACAAGTCTCTAACGGTTTATTATTGACCACATTACAAAACTTGCGAGCTCTAAATAGCTTGGGGTTTGGGCCTACCGATAAATGGGATGTGCTCATGTGCTCGTTTTCGCAAACAACCTAAAACTAAAAAGCTTATACCGCTTCATACGTGAGTTTGAGGCTCTCGGTCACCTAAGCAAACTGCCTACCAACCTACATCAAACTCAAAACCCCTACTACTTCCCACCCATCCTTTTGGGTAAAGGAAACTACGAATCTACTAAAACGCGTGTTGTTTTCGAGGCAAATTCAAGACAACTTTTGGCGTTGCAGTCAACGACCTCCAGATGGTCGGAAACCTTTGTATTCAGGATTCCCTTTTTATATTCTTGTACGTTTTCGACAACACAAATACACCCTTCCCTGCGCAGATTCGAGAAGATGTTTCGAGCTGTTTATGTGAGAGTGTCTGTCCTATTATCCTTATCAGGACCTTCAGGATTAACGGCTTTTTCCACACCTAAATATACAGTGTTAATAAACTTACTTGTTACTTAGTCTTAATAAGATAATAATCATCAAAAACAAGCAAAAAAAATTATAGTTCTAAACTAATAAAATACGCTTTTGTCGAAAAATTTTTCTGTAATTTCAAATTTCAAAGTTCAAAAAAACATTTTATCGTAAAAAGGCGTGGGGTTTATTTCTAAGGTATTTTATATTAGATTTAATAGTTTTACTTTTACCAATATCTGTCAGTAAAAAAATTTTACAACATTGAAAATCTAGCACCCCACGGCTATCTTACGATAAAATAAGGGTTTTCGGCGGCGCTATAAGGTCCAGTACCTCATAGCGCCGCCGAACCTTATTTTCTAAAAATTAAAATAATAACTAAAATATTATAACTACTCACCGGGTCATTTTCAAATTTTCTGATATTCACATATTCAAGGTTAAGGTTACTTGTGATTACTATGATCCCAAATGTAAATAAACGCAAGATTTCGGCCACCTCAATATCTTATCCAAGTGAGTGATATTTACAGCCCCTTTAGACCAAAATTTTTAATCTTTTCACTGATTTACAATTGTGAGAACTTGTTATTTTAATTTAAATTATCAAAAATTTTCCACACATACCTCACAATCAATAACATTTTAAAAAAATCAACGGAATTCAGTAAAAAACTGTTAAATGTACACACACTTTCAATAAAACTATAATTATACCTGGGGGGAAAGAAAATAGTAACAACAATTAAATCTTTTTCCTCAAAAAACGAATAAATTTTCAACAACCGATATTTATACCGATCCCAATGGCTACTCGTTTGCACCCTAAATAGCGTGTCAGTGGAAATGACACTGGCTTGGCGTAATAGCAGAATTGAGGTTTGCGCTGACATTAAAATGCTCGGGGCATATGATTGTAACGAAAATGGTAAGCCTCTGATTATGCACGAAACACTAGCGGCATCGAAATGCTTTTACCTTTTTCGCTCCAGCCGTGTATGTCTCCTAACTGGTCAATGTTCTTCAACCACGCGCCGTTACTTACAATCTTCTCCTTCAGGGTCAAATCTGGGTTTAGCGAGGCTCCCGCGGTGGCTCTTAAAAAAATTAGTGAAAAGAATTCTTCGTTGAGTTCGTGTATCGCCTTCCAACCTCATTTTCTAGCAGGCATTTGAGTATTTTTTTTTGCAGGTGGTGGAGGGTAGTCTTCATCTTCACTAGTCTGTTCGGTGTTCTGGTTAGCACCATCCAGGCGGGCGGACTCCATGTCCCACGTCTTCGTTAGGGCGAATACGTAATCGAATAGTAATCCCACTTCTGAATGTAACAGGCGGCAAAATAACGAAACTATTTCCCTTATTAATCAATTATTTATTTTAAGATTATAATTATAATTTGTATACGTTATGATTTGACAAGAGTTCCGACTTATCGAGGATACACAACGCAATAAATCCACCAAATGAGCGGGACAGGAAATTTTAATCATGGTTTTGACAGTTGGATGTGACGTCGCCGACGATTAATGGCGGGCTTGGCTGACAGTTTCGCACTAAACTGTCGTGTCGACTAAATGGCGAACCAAGTCTGCAGAGTTAAAGTTGAATGATCTGTCCTAATCAAGGGAAAACTCTAACACCTCCGTTATGCTGGCGCCTTGGCAGAGTGGAGAAGCTGTTCTATGGACCCAACGGACTACCACGCGATATTAACACTGCGCAGGGCTTAAATGCGCAAAAAGCCCTTAACCGCATATGTCTGCTACACAGCAAGCTCTTGAAGACTCCTCGACGCCTTCTCGACTTTTTTTCAACGCCCGGGAGGGATGTTCGGGCCGTTTTTCCGCGACTCGACTAAACAATCATAGATCATCTTTTTTGTCTATGCTCCGACCGCACCGACACTATTGACGTTTCCGTTTTTCATTATATACTTGACAAGATGGCTAGCGAATACTAATTGTAACTCCTTTATGATAAATACGCTCTTAAACCGAAGACATTGGTTTTCTTTGTTCCTTACCGAACACTTGGTTTCGTTGACATCAATTGTAACGAAAACTTTCTTCTAGAGGTAACCATAAAATCCCGAGTGATTTCTAGTTTCATCTAGTGGTATTGTCAACCCTTTCGTTATCCTGGGTTTTCATTCCCTAAGTTGTCTAATAAATTTGATTATTTGATGACCATTTTCTCAAATTGAATCCCGCCTGCTTGTAACATTCCTTTTGTATTTTTTTCGCGGCAACACTGGTATCCCCTGATAACACGTATCCACGTAAATATCCCGAAGGGCTACTTGACTAGCTCTCGGAAAATTCTTTTTGTTCGAACGCCACCTGTTGCAATGTTTTTATTGCTAAATACGGTGCAGAGGGAGTACCGTATGTTACTGCGGTTAATTCGTATTCGTCATGGGCTGTTTGGGTGATTCTCCTCCATAGTATCCTTTGGTACGTTTATATCGAAATTATTTAATTTTTTGAACCGATACATCTTCTCTATATCTGCCATGAATACTATTTTTTGTTTACGCCACCGCAGTAGTATAGACGCTAAATCTTGTTGCAATCTGGCTTCCCGTAAACATATTGCTATTCAAACTTTTACAGGCGCTTTTTTTACATAATGCATCGAACACTACTCGTTATTTAGTTGTCAAATGCTTCTTTAATCACTGGTTGCTGTGGTATGTAGTACTTTTCCTGATCGTAGTCTTTTCTGGGAACTTTTCTCATGTGACCCATGTCTAAGTACTACCTGAGGAACATTTTGTAATGTGTTAGTAAGTTTTTTATCTTTAGCGGGTTTCCGTTCTAACTTGCATTAGCCGGCAATAGCTAATTGAAGAGTATTCCCGTAATCCTGGTTTCGGATTCTTTAATGGTGATCTCACAAATGTAATAGTTTCCATCTAGATTTCTTCGGTAGTTTTTTGTAACCCTTGTAATATAAACTACTGTATTTTTGAGTGCCTAATATTATGTCTATTGGGCTTCTTTTTTAATATGTCGGATCTACTAGAATAATGTTTTTTAAAGCGGTCCCGAATGTAATTGCGGTATGTTTTTTTTTGGTAATAAACCGGTACGTTTCAGCAGTATTATAATCGTTACTGGTAGCTTATATTGACCAGGAAACCGTGGTTGTAGTTGGACATCGATACAGTAATTCGATGTCTTTGGTTTCCCGTCAGCTCGATCTCTACCTCAGATCCTTGATCACATAACACTCTTAGTAATGGGGTGTGCCGTCGTTGGTTTTTCGCTTGCACTTTGGGGCCCTAGCCAGTAGCATTGTTGTAGGTGTATTTTTAGTAGTTGTAGAATGGTTGACATAGTTTGATTGGCCCCTTTGCTTGTGGCGGCTTCATTAGCTGTTTTTTTTTCAGGCACCTTGGAATCTTTCTTTTTGATATTTTTACTCTATATTATTTAACAGAGAAGTGATGGCCTGGCTGACCACAATATTTACATACTTTAAAACTGTGGCAACTGTATCGATATTCCTGCATTAAGCAATTTTTTGCACATACGATTTTTTATTGTTTCTATATTACGTTGTTGCGCTGACAATGCTAAAAATTGCGTGCAATTATAAATTAAATGTTCTTTATTGCATAGCCAAAATGTAGTATAGTTAAATACTGCTGTTGTTACAACGGCGCGGCTTGTTTAATTTATTTTCTGAAGTAATTGTTAGATTCCAACACTTCACTCGTTTCTTCCAGGAAGCTCATCATTTCCCTGACGATTAAAGTTTGTAAGGCCTCTAATTGAGTCTCGTATTTTTCATCAGTTTCGGGAAACCCAAATTCGACCCA